TATTTCAAACTTGCAAGTTGAGTTAAAAGTTATGGTAATAAATTCATTTTTTTTTTATTAAAACTTTCACTTTAAAGAACAAAAAGAAGTAGGTTCAAAATGATTACTTTTAACATATTAAAAATCAATAATAATTTGAAAATAATTAATTATAAAAATTATATAATATATAATTAAAATAATTACTAATCTGGATATAATTAAGGAAATAGGAGTTGATGTTGGGTTGGGTTGGTTACATTTTTAACTTTATAATGCTATAACTCATTGAAAAGTGTACGAATCAACACAATTTTTTTATGAGAAATAATATTTTTTAATAATCCCTTTTTCATTCGACATACTTTATCTTAATCAGGGTATTAATAAGAAACTAGCAGATAATGTAGCTTTTGTAATTATCCACCAATTTCTTAGAATTAAACACTATCTACTGATTTGCATCGAAGCGTTTCTTATGATAGTGATTTTAATCACTGTCAGATTAAATCTATACTGGACCCAACTATGCAACATCCCCACTATGCCGCGACCCCACTGTGCTGGGTTTTTTTTTTTTGTGTCGACACTTTTTATCAGTTCTCAATTTCTTTCAATTATATTTCAAAAGATCACAAATCGTATCTAATGGAAGACAATGCCCTCGATAATTGAAAAAGTTTTTCTCGTTTCCCGTAAATGTTTCAAATTTCCCAAAAAATTACAATTCTTAAAATCTATAAATTTTGACATCCTTTTCAATTTTTTTCTTAAAACTGATTTTTTTAAAATGTAAAAAAAAAAACTTTGACCTCTGGTTTTGTCTTCTCGATGAAAATGCTCACCATATTTAAAAATATGCTGTCTATACAAACAATTAAAATCATTAATTTCTAATATTCTTAAAGTATTTATTGTCGAATTAGATTTGATATGATAAAAGTATTCAACAACAAAAGTAAATAATTTTACTCTGTAATTAATTAATTTTTTAACTCTATTTATGTGTGCAACTACTAATCTATAATATTTCAAATGTTTGGCAACATGTTGCTATATAAATTATTAAAAAAAAAAAAAAATGTAATTTAGTTTTTCCTGAATTTAACAATGGATTTTTACAATTAAAATCAAACTAAATAGTACGCTCAATTGAGTAGATTTTTTTAACAACTTTTACCTTTGATGCGAAGCTAAGAAGGTATTGGTTTTACTATGATGTGTTTTTTTTTTTGTGTCTGTTACTACTTTTTCTCAGCTCTCACCGAACCGATTTCTTTCAATGATACGTAAAAGATCACAAATTGTATCTAGTTAAAGACATTATTCTCAAAAATTGAAAAAATTTCCCTTGTTCCCCGTAAATGGGGGAAACCTCCTAAAAAATTACAAATTTAAAAATTGCTAATTTTCGAAATTTTTTTACTTAAAATTGCTATAACTTTTTAAAAATAACCAAATCAATATAAATTTTTTTTTATAGATGCATGATGTTATTACCTTTCATTTGGCATATTTTTTTATATATCTGACCCTTTAACTGCCCACAGGCGGGGATTTAAAATAACAACTTTTTCACAAAAAATTAATTTTTTCAACTTGACTTGAAAATGTTCCGGAAAGTCTGACACTTTTATATATATCTTAAATTAAAGTTAATGTACTATACTTTATCATGGAAAAAAAAAATTCGGACTTTATTTTATCTTCACGGAAGCGTTTTTTTTTTTATAGTGATTTTAATTACTGTCAGATATCATTACTGAAAATTTTTCAATTTTTAACGGTAATGTCTTCAACTAGATACGATATGTGATCTTTTGACGTATTGTTGAAAGAAATCGGTCCAGTGAGAGCTGAGAAAAAGTAGTGATAGATACAAAAAAAATAAAATAAAATAAACACATCATGGTAAAANAGTGATAGATACAAAAAAAATAAAATAAAATAAACACATCATGGTAAAATTAATACCTTCTCAGCTTGGCATCGAAGATAAAATACTTATTCAACAACTGTAAAAAAAT